TAGGCTATCAAATTATGGATGCGTGCGTGTCATTGACTAAAAAATCACTATGGTCTCTGCCTTCACAAAGTTGAGCCAATTATTCTTAACAAATCATGCAACATCTATTATCTTAGTTTTAGTTTTAATATCAGTTTTCGTAATCAATATCTCAGGACAGGCATTTCACAATGATTCTGACAAAGTGAAGAAAAAACACGCAAAAGGTTAATTGGGTATGCTGAGACCCGAAACACCTTTGTATATTTTAATCAATCATGCAGTTCTTACAGATCGAGGTTCTTACTTCTGCCTGTGTGCCCTTATAGAAGAGTGACTAATTTGCCAACTGGTGTGATAGAGTCTGCATTATTCACTATTCTTCTCGGCAGGCCACTATTACATTTTGTTTCATGTTTGAGCGAGTAAACGCGAACTATGAAATAAGATGCGGGTCCATTAAATTTCAGTATGAAAAGGAGGAGGAGGAGGAATGGAAGAAAGAGAAGGCGGAGGAGAAGTGAAGAATAAGAGGAATAAAAAAAGGAGAAAGCTCATTTTAGTATATTAAGTTCTAAAACAAGAAAACGAAGATCAAATCAGGTATCTCATAACACAATCAATTCTCAGTGGAATATCTTGGTACTTAAGCGCCCGGGGCGAGCAATGAAATTGCGCACCCACTCCCTCACAAACTTGTTTTGGTTTCATTATATAAATATTCGAGGGAACAAAGCGAGCGAGTAAAATAAGGACACTTTCATTGTAGAAAAGATGTTACTTCTTCATCTAATACATGATGCCCGTATATGAGTGTTTTCAGGAATCCCGTTACGTAGAATCTTTAAACCTCCAACATTTGTTCTTGTTATTATTCATGCATATATGTTTTTGATACAGAAAATAATACCAAACCAATGCAAAATATCATTTTTTATTTATTTCTGTTTTGCGAGAAAAGTAAAGTAAGCGAGCATAAATGAAAATTTATATTATATGTTATTTCATCTTGAAATTTCACTAGCTTAGATATATGAGATGAGGGTTGATCGAATATTGGAACTTTATAAATCCTCTGGGGGAGCCCCTGTCCCTCTCCTTCAACTCCCCCACCTTCCACCTTGTTCGTTTTTTTTTTTTTTTTTTTTTTTTTTTTTTTTTTTTTTTTTTTACTGCAACAGAGCAGTGGAGTTGCAAATGTTGCGCCTTTCTTTTCAATTCTTCTTTTCTTTTTCTCTTGGTTAAAATAATCAAAGAAATTATCTAACAGAAAGTATTCTTACAAACTCCGAACCTTCCAAAATATCATGTATATATATTGAGACGAGACTAAGCTATATATATATATATTTTTTTAAGCGGGGGGGGGGGGGGGGGGCACATCGACCAAGCCTTAGAAAATTTCCCATCTAACACCCTGATAATCTCGTTTCTAATACAACTTACCCTTCGTACATACTCCTTAAGATCCTGGCTTTTACTCCTTTTCTTCCCTTTCTATTTTTTTCGTTTCTTGCGCCTCCTCACTGCTGCGTTTTTTTCGCCCCCCCCCCTTCTACGGCCACCCATAGCATGTGCCCCTGTCCCCCTTTCAACTAGTACACAACTGAGTTCATTCTAATTACTAATATTTGAAATCGAGATCATCTTTATGAGGATTACCGTGTCATAGGGTAATTATTCAAAACACATAACATATCATTCTTTCCCAGAACTAAACCACAGTCAAGTTCATTTATCACTAGAGAAAAAATTACTGCTTCTACATTGTCACCACATAATTGTTTTTTCAGTTTCCATGTGGTGTTCCCAATTTATCTTCATATACAGTAGTTGTATAACGTAAATTTTTTGTATTCTCTTATGTCTCATTGGAACGTTGGTAACTTGGGCCTCTCCATGTTGAAGCGAGGAGCCTGAGGCCGGTTCGACTCTGCTTGAACAACAATTCTCTGGGAGCTCTCCTCATCTCTCTCTGTTGGTTGTTGAGGCTCTTGCGACGAAGACATCTGAGAGACATAATCCTTCTCTCGGATCTGGAGCTTGCAGAAACAATTCTGGCACTCATCAAGCCATAGCTCCTCCTTGTTGAATTCTTCATCGTTCTCAATCTTCTCTGTATAGGCCTCGTGTTTGGATTGGAGGTCTACGTAAGCCTGGTTGGCTTGTTTGAAAGCTTCAGATGAGAGATTCTGTGACTTTGTGAATCTCATACGCAGAAGTTTCAATACCTTGAAGGAGGTAGATAGAGCTGAGGATATGAACAATAGTCACATGTTAGCCATCATTCATAAGAAGCTCTATGTCACAGATCGACAGATGTGGTTCCGAAAGCAAGGAGAAGGAACAACGACGACATTAGAGGCACTGTTGAAGTGGACGGAGATTGAGTTGAGAGCAAGGATAAGATCATCTGCTCCAGTGAGGAATGATGCAGCCTCTAAGTCTAGATCCGCTGTTAGTCAGGTCACAGCATTTGAGGAACCAATGTAAGACTTTCCTTGATAAGTCTACAGCGGAGAGATTGGAGTTGGTAAAGAGCAGCCGAGCTTGTTATAGCTGTTTGAAGCAAGCCGGTAGAGAGCATCGAATGGCTACTTGCAAGAAAAGGAGACGGTGTCCAGAGACATACAAGGGGCAACCATGCAAGTTCTTTCATCATCCACTGTTACATCCCAGCATTGACAACAATGCAGTGGGAGTAGCCCTTGTAAGAGGAACGGAAGCCATGCTACCCGTCATCAGGGCAAGGTTCACCGGTTCAGAGCTAAAGAGCCAAGGAAACGTGCTGTTAGATTCAGGGGCCCAGATCAGCATCATCCGCCAAGGGCTCGCTGAAGACTTGGGACTGACAGGAAAGAGCATCAGTATCACAGTAACCAAGGTGGGTTGTGTAAAGGAATTTGTGACGACATCCTTGTATAGATTGCCAGTCAGCTCAGTAGATGGGAAGACAATCCATAAGATATTAGCAGTGGGGTTACCGTGCATCAATGATGACATCGAGGAGGTGAACACTGCTAATCTTGCCCGTCAAGTAGGCCTCAACCCCAGAGAGTTACGTAGAGGTAGTGGGTCTATAGATCTTCTGATAGGAATTGACCACGCTATGATGCACGCAGGTGAAACGAGACAACGAGGTAACTTCATCTTTAGGAAGTTACCACTTGGATGGGTAGTGTTTGGAGCATCTAAGCTGAACCAGCAGTATCTTAATAGAGTGCTCAACGTGCAACTGAGTCCAGCAACTGACTAATTATCAGCATTTTGGACTACAGAGTCGATGGGAGTTGATGTGGGTTGTCATTGTGAAGCCGAAGGATGACTAAAGTAGAGAAAGATGAACATGATCTTATCTGGAACTCTGCCAAGAAAGTGGGTAAGCAGTGGCTTGTCCCTTACCCATGGAAGGATAACCCAGAGAAGCTGCCCGACAACAGAGTGCAAGCAGAGAGAATGCTTCAGGCGACAGAGAAAAGGCTTGCAAAGAACCCGCAGCATGCTGAAGTTTATAAACAGCAGATATGCAAGAGATGGTCGAGATGGGGTTTTCGAGAAAGCTGACCGATGAAGAGAAGAAGAGGCATGATGGGCCTGTCCATTACATTGGTCATCATGCGGTTGTCATGCCGGAAAAGAGAGCACACCAGTGTGAATTGTGTTTAACTCATCAGCAGTTTTCAAGGGACAGTGTTTGAACAACTACTGGTTCAGAGGGCCAGACTTATTACAGAGTCTGTTCGGAGTACTTCTTCGCTTCAGAGAACACAGAATTGCGATATGCGCCGACATATCCAAGATGTACCACCGAGTACTGATTCCAGAATCCGATCAGCACGTCCATCGGTACTTGTGGAGAGGATTAGATTCACATAGAGAACCGGATGTGTACGTGAAAACTGTAGTCACGTTTGGAGATAAGCAATGGCCCAGATAGCTCTGAGGAGGGCAGCAGTAGAGGGAGAGTCTCAACATCCTAAGGCAGTAGAAGTACTGAAACGTGACACGTACATGGACGACATATGTACCTCAGTAAGAACGACAGAGGAGGCGAAAGATCTTGTCAAGGACATAGATGAGGTGCTAGCTGAGGGAGGCTTCAAGGTGAAGGGTTGGCTATCCAACGAACAGCTGAAAGATGAGACTTCTCAGATGAAAACCAACGTTCTTGAGAATCTGAGTGAGGAGAAGGTTCCGGGGATGGTATGGAACCAAAACACAGATGAGTTTTCATACAGAGTGAAAAGAAGTATGATCCCAGATCTTCCAAACGAACAGAAGGGCACCACCAGCAAATGGACAAAGAGACGGATACTAAGCCAGATTGCAAAGATCTTAGATCCCATAGGATTTGCTTCAGCATTAGATGGAGAACTTAGATGGAGTGTCCTTCCAGAGATGCTTGACACCACCCGGTGCAATGAGACGACCTACAACCGTGTATGCAGTCTGCGTACAGACAGTTCCATTCAACAGAGACTGCCCTCATCAAAGTCTACAATGATCTGCTACTGGCTGTCGATAGAGGGCTAGAGGCTGTTCTGGTTTTGCTTGATTTCTCGGCTGCTTTTGAAACCATAGATCATGCCAAATTGATGTGTCGTCTGCGTCATGATTATGGATTTGATGGAAAGGTACTGCAGTGGCTTGCTTCTTACCTGGAGGACCGTCATCAAGTTATTGTTGTCAACAGAGTTCCTTCTAAAGCATTCCCACTCCCCTGGGGTGTCCCCCAATGATCCGTTCTAGGACCTCTGCTCTTTTCACTGTACACGGGTCCGCTCAGTGAGGTCATCCATGCTCATGATGGCGTCATGCATATGATGTATGCCGACGATACGCAACTGTACATAGTGCTCAAGCAAAGTGATGCTTCCAGTTGCATTTCCAAGCTCAGCAGATGCGTCAGTGACGTGAAAAGCTGGTCCTGCGGCAATAATCTTGTGTTCAACGGCACAAAAACAGAAGTTATGCATATAACTTCCATGTTTCGCAATTCCAGTGTGCTACCTGATCTTGACATGGATGGCACAACAATCACTCTTTCCCAATCTGCCAAGGATCTGGGAGTCACGGTGGACAACGTGCTAAATGTGAACCAGCATATACGCAACGTGTGTCGTATCGCAGCTTTCGGGATCCACAAAGTTGGAAAACTGCGAAAATTTCTGGATCAAAGTTCTACTCATCGTCTTGTTAATGCCCTTGTAACTTCCCACCTTGATTACTGTAATGGACTATTAATCAATCTCCCTAGCTCTCATTTAGCCCCTCTTCAACATATTCAGAACACAGCAGCACGCCTCATCACACGTACAAGAAAACATGAACACATCACACCGATCATTCGTTCACTACACTGGCTCCCCCTCCAACAACGTATCAAATTCAAGATTCTCATGCTGACATACAAGGCTTTTCACAAACTTGCTCCCTCATATCTCTCGGCACTCATCACTCCTAAAACTCGTACTTCATCTATGCGTCTCAGATCGTCATCCACAGCACATCTTCATCTTGCTCCAGGCCCTCGCACCCACACCCGCTATGGAAATCGTGCCTTTTCTGTCTGTGCCCCCCAACTTTGGAACAATCTTCCCCATGAAATACGCGAGTCCCCAACCTTAGAGACATTCAAAAGTAAACTTAAGAGTTATCTGTTTAATATGTAATGTAATGTAATCATATTTTGTTTGTTTAACTATAAAGCTTTATGTAAATATTAACTATTATTATTGTATTATTGTTATTAAGAATTTGTTATTATAATTATGTATCATGTTTTATATTCTTGTAATTTGTAAGTTAACATTACTTTCATTTTATTTTTTGTTAAGCGCTTAGAAACTTTGTATTAAGCGCTATATAAATGTAATTTATTATTATTATTATTATTATTATTATAACATTATGTGTATTTTGTGACGCATCTGAAGAGGCGTTTGGAGCGTGTGTTTACATTCGCTGGGAGTTAGAGGATGGCAGCTATGATGTTAGGTCTGTGACGGCTAAATCTAGAGTAGCACCACTAAAGAAGTTGACGCTGCCGAGATTGGAGCTACAAGCTGCAGTGGTTGCTGTTAGACTCGATGCAACCATCAGAGATGAGACCACATTAGAGTTAAGAGAGACAGTGTTCATGACAGATAGCATGATAGTGCTTGCATGGGTTCGAAGTCAGGCGATAACTTTTAAGCCCTTTGTGTCAGCTAGAGTAGGAGAAATCCAAAGCAAGTCGAATCCCCAACAGTGGAGACATGTGAGTGGAGCAGAAAACCCAGCTGACGACATTTCGAGAGGTGTTACAGTAGAGAAGTTAGAGAGGTGTAGATGTGGTCCTCAATTTCTAAGATCGCCTGAGGAGGAGTGGCCACAGAGTGAGACGAAACCTGAGATTTCGTCAATGGACAGTGAAAGGCGTAAAGTTCAACAAGTGTCGAATGTAGTATTGGCATCAGACTGCATCGACTGTGAAAGAATTTCCAGCTGGAAAAAACTGGTAAGAGTCACTGCATATGTGCAGAGATTTACCCACAACATGAAGGCGAGGGTAAGATCAGGAGATGAGAGAGAGAAAGTGACGGTCGGACCACTTACAGCAGCTGAGCTAGGTGATGCAGAGATGTACTGGGTCAGAGAGGCTCAGAAACGGCTACATGACAGACTGAAGAAGGGGGAGTTCAAGACTCTAACCCCCTACAAAGAGAATGGAATCATCAGAGTTGGAGGTAGAGTTGGAGAAGGAGTGATTTCGTATGACAGCAGGCATCCTGTGTTACTACCTCATCATTATCGCATCTCTACGCTCATCACTAAGCATGTCCATGAATTGGGGCATGATGGAGTTGCGACAACGGCAGCGAAAGTGAGAAGCAACTACTGGGTGATTGGCATACATAGGCTTGCCAAGACTATCAAGCACAGGTGCGTGATGTGTCGTAAGATGCAGCACAAGGTCGAGTCGCAGTTTATACCAGAGATACGTATGACACCGTTTTCGCCTCCATTCCTGTACATTTCGTGCGATTACTTTGGGCCGTACAGCGTGAAGGTGGGGCGGAATAAGGTCGCTCAAGTGCGTAGCCAGGGTGACTTACAGAGCGCGCGTAGCGCGCTCCCTAGGGGGGAGGGTGCAGGGACGGGGGAGTTTCCCCCCTCCTGCGCGAAGCGCGAAAGCTTTGAGGTTTCATCAAATTATAAGAGAAAGAAGACGATTCGTTGGACCGTTCTCGACTCTTAATCCTTATCTAAATTCAGTTTCTGTTGACGTTTCATTAGAGAAAGAAGACGATTCGTTGTACCGTCCTCGACTCTTAATCCTTTTTTGTATCAAGTTCCCCTTCCTCCGCGGAAGCTCGAAGTTTTATTAGATTATTAAAGAAAGAAGAAGATTTGTTGTACCATTCTCGATCGACTCTTAATCCTTGTCTGAATTCAGTTCCCCCCCTCCCCTCTCGCGGAAGCTTTGACGTTTCATAAATTATTAGAGAAAGAAGACGATTTGTTGTACCGTTCTCGACTCTTAATCCAAATCTGAATTCAGTTCCCCCCCTCCCCTCCCGCGCGAAGCGCGGAAGCTTAGACGTTTCATTAAATTATTAGAGAAAAAAAACGATTCGGTGTACCGTTCTCGACTCTTAATCCTTTTTCTTCCTACGTCCTCTTCCTTTCTTCTTTTTTTTCTCTCTTTTTTTTTTTTTTTTGGCCGGCGTTTTTTTTTTGGGGGGGGGGGGGGGGAGGAGGGGGGGGGGGCGACTGCCCCCACCGCCCCCTGGCTACGCGCCAGAGGTCGCTAAGCACTATAGAGTGATCTTCACGTGTCTTAACACAAGAGCGGTACACCTTGACCTAGCGGTAGATGTTTCTACAATGGAGTTTCTTCAGGTTCTACGTAGGTTTTTCGCGTTTAGAGGTCAACCGAAGGTCATCCTGAGCGATAATGGTACACAATTCGTGGGAGCGGTACGTGAGCTACGTGAGATGGTAAAGGGATGGGATAGCGATCTACTACGCGAGTTTTGTGCGGAGAAAGGTGTAGAGTGGAGGTTTACAACCCCTTCAGCTCCTCATCAGAATGGATGTGCTGAAGCACTTGTGAAGAGTAGTAAGTCCGCATTAAAGAAAGCTATAGGTGATCAGGTCCTCACTCCTTTTGAGTTATATACCTGTTTGTTAGAAGTAGTAAACCTCGCCAATCAGCGTCCAATAGGGAGGGTACCGAATGACCCCGACGATGGTAGTTATCTCTGTCCCAATGATGTTTTGTTAGGGAGAGCATCCGGTAGGGTACCCCAGGGTCTGTTCAGAGAAACGAAGAATCCGCGACATAGAGTCGAATTAGTGCGACGAATCGTCGACTCATTCTGGAAGGCATGGAATCGCGATGTATTTCCACTCTTAGTACCGCGAAAGAAGTGGAATGTTGACAGACGTAATCCTCGCGTAGATGACATAGTTATATTGTCAGATCAGAACGCTCTTCGAGGAAAATGGACATTAGGGAGAATTGTTGAAGTTTTTCCTGGAACTGATAATAAGATCAGAAACGTGACAGTAAAGACGGCAAATTCTGAGTATAGAAGGCCAATAAACAAAGTGGTCGTATTATATCCAGCAGAAGGATACGAAGAGTAGATTGAACAGAAATATGTCTGTCTATAGTACTCACAGAATAACAAATTTATTCACTTTCTATGTTCTTGTTCAAAATCAACTTTTTTCAGCTTTAAGAAGTTAGATGATAACAAAGCTTTGTCGGTGCAACTTTCAATTTTTGCTATTGTTACAAGGGAATTGACTTTTGGCACAGTTTACACTGAGAACAAAATTCAACAATTTGAAATTATGTACAACGTTTAGTACATTTTGAATATATTTTTTGTTGAGATTTTGAGTGATATTTGCCATTTATTAGCAAATTCAGCAAAGAAAGTTTGCAGAGAAAAGTTGATTTTTATGATATATGTATACAGGAAGCAAGCTGGTATGGAACATCCATTTGATATCTTTTGACAGGAAATGTAAATTTGTGTATTTTCATGCAACAATTGTTTTTCAGGTTCATGCAGGCTTGCAGATACCTATTCATTTGCCTTGCTAATAGTTTGGATGGTAATTTAGACTGTTAAAGTGTTAATTAAGCAGAGTGAGAAGAAGTATTTTTCACAACTTAGTTATGAGTCATTTACAGATTTTGGAGTAAAAAACTGAAGAAAGTATTTTGTTCTATTTTTAATGAGAAACATTGCGTACTTTTATGAAAATGAGGTCAATTTTATTGTTGCCCTCATTGGGGGGAGGTTGTTTCAGCGAAACATGAAAGTTATTTGCTTTTTCTAAGATTTTTGCAAGATACCGTATTGACCCTGACCTACTTCTAGGGTCATGTAAGTGTATACGTTGCAGAGCACATTTTTCCACGGATGTGATCTGACATATCATTTCAGACGCTTATTTAGAGGCCAGAATTCCAGGTTTAGGAAAATGGCAACGGTATTTCAGAGTCGCTAGCAATTTCCGCAAAAGAAGTGAGTAAAGCTTGGATAAGATATTATGAAGTGTATGATAATGAATTGGTGGAAATTAATGATTATTTGGTGTCACATTCGAGTACGAAGATGTGTTAGTAATGTGCATGTTAATCTCAAATTAAAAACCTATAGCGCCTGGCAGGCAGCTGACTGTGCTCCCAATGTTTCTGTTGATATTGCCTTCTCTTGGACTGAGAGAGGCAGTTTGATCACTATTGGATACAGCACCATCTAGACATTTTCTGTGGATTCTTATGATACTTACTTGTTGTAGAAAGCAGATATTTTTTAACACTCTACACTGGATTATAGCGTGCAGCCATCTTCATGCCCTGAGTACATGGGCTTGCCCAGCATAGCACCATTCAGCAAATTCACTCAGCCATGTAGACAATGGACTATACAATTGACTGGTGCAGGATAAAAGGACCAGTTTCAATGTGTTCTATACAGCATACAGCATGAAGCCAGTGGTGAGCATTTTTCTGGCGCGTTTGTTATGCATATATATGAATGAAGGCCACCTACCTGTATGTTCTCTGCACCTAAACTTGTTCATCACAAATATTTGTCTACACGTATTTTGTACTACAGTAACAGTAATTCGACTCTTCAGCTTGAGCTCCTACGATGCGGATACATAAGCCCGAATCCAGGCCCCACGTTTTCTACTGAGAGCAATCGTTTATATCCTCTTTCTCAATTGTATGCCTTACAAAACTCGTGTAAATCAACAACTCACCTGCCCCACACAACATGGGAAATCATCAAAGATCTAGGCATTCAACAGAAACCTTTTCATCATCGCGGCAAACGAGCGGGAAAGGGAAAAGTTACGATATATAGAAAGCAGGACCCAATTCGTCTTTTTAATCCAGCTCAGGATAATGCATATTGTGATTTTCAACATAAAATACCAGTCATTACCAGACTCAGGAAAAAATAGCAGCATAAAGATAAAGTACAGGTTAATTTCTACAATCTTCATCGAATTACAAAGGAGAGATGTGTAAATACAGGTTTCAATTTGCCTAAAGTTCTTTTGTCTAATCCAAGATCAATTAATAACAAATTGGATGAGCTTGAAATCATCGTGAGAGATCATGCTGTTGATATAGTAGCTTTGACGGAGACATGGGAAGTGAAAGACTCACCTCTTGAGCTGTTAAACCTAGATGGGTTTGCCACCTTCTCCAGGCCTCGTGAAAAACGACAAGGAGGTGGAGTAGCATTGTTTGCTAAGCACATATTTCATCCTCGTTTATTGACTGATATTTATGTACCAGATGATATTGAAGTAATATGGGTTATCTTAAGACCCCCACATTTACCGAGGAAAATCTCTTGTATTATTCTGTGTGTACTCTATTTTCCTCCAAAAAGTTCTAACGGGGCGGACTATGTTGACCATGTAATTTCGACAATTGATTTATTACTTGTAAAATATCCTGACGCGGGGATAACCGTACTTGGTGATTTTAATGATCTAAGTTTTCAAGAAATTTTAAGAGACGATAGCTTTAGACAAGTAGTCAACAAACCAACTAGGGGATGTAATATTCTTGATAAGATTTTTACAAACTTTTCTGAATTTTATGCAAATATTTCAATTCTTCCTCCAATTGGTAGAAGCGATTACAATTGTATTATTTGGCATTCAACTATTGGTTCAAAAATACTACTAATAAAAAGACCAGGATTGTTCGTCCTTTGAAGGACAGTGGATTACGATTATTTGGTCAATGGTTGACTGCACAAACTTGGGAAGAAGTATTTTTTAGATACCTCTGACTAATCATTAACATGTAATAGGTTAATTGACACCATTAAATATCACCTTGACCTATACTTACCTTCGCGCGAAGTGAAAGTGAGTATTACTGACAAACCTTGGGTAACTCCAATTATCAAATCACTTATTTGTGACCGACAAAAAGCTTTTAAAAAAGGAAACGATACTCTTTGGAGGCATTTAAGAAATAAAGATGCTCAAGCTATTTCTGTTGCAAAAAGAATTATCACAATACTCTTATTAAAAAGGAAAAGTTGAATAATCCTTCAGCCTGGTATAGGCATATAAAGATACTTACAAATGGTAACCAGGACCATATTCCGATAATTATTCCTGGTATTGATGTTCAAAGTCCGCAGTATCCTAAACAAGCAGCTAATGCAATTAATGATTTTTTTTTGGTGTCTATTGCTTCTGATCTTTTTCCTTTAAACAGGAAATGTTTACCAGCCTTTTTACCTTCTCAGTGTGAAAGTCCAGAGATTAGTTGTTGGGCAGTTTATTGTAAACTGCGTAAAATGCAGTTACATAAAGCATCTGTTAGAGACGATCTTCCTATTCGCATAATTAGAGAATTTGCATGTGAATTAAGTGTACCGGTTACTAGGATCCTTAATATATCTTTAGACAAGGAGTTGTCCCTTCACAGTGGAGATCCGCTCAAGTAACTCCTATTCCAAAATCGCACCCACCTTGTATTAATAATCTGCGTCCTATAGCTTTGACTTCACATTTTTCTAAGTTAGCTGAATCTTTTATGGCTCAATGGTTATTGAAAGATATTGAGAAACTCATTGATATACATCAATTCGGTAACAGACCAGGGTTATCTACTACACATTATCTCGTTGGCCTTTTACATCATCTTTATAAACATGCAGAAAACAACAGGTCTATATCAACTATTGTATGTACAGATTTTAAAAAGGCTTTTGATCGCTTGGATCACAACATTCTAATTGAAAAAGTGGTTAATATGCACATAAGACCTTGGATAATAAGTTGGATCATAAGTTTTTTAGAATGTCGTAAACAAAGTACATTATATAATGGAACTCCGTCTGATATTAAATTTTGTCATTCCGGTGTTCCCCAAGGGACACGCCTTGGCCCAATTCTGTTTTCAATTATGGTTAATGATTTATGTGAAAATATTCCTATACGGGTCATTCCATGTCAAATCACCCAAAAATCTGAAAATCTTTTGATTTTGATGAAACTTAGTGTACTTCTTCAGTGTGATCTCACAGCGCCAAATCCCAAATTTTAGGTCAATTGGGTAAGGGGTTTGGGAGATACGGCCAACCAAATTTTGAGACTTTTGCAAAAATGGGGGTGGCGGGCCTACCTTTGAACACTTGTATCTCGGGACCTAATGGGTCAATCTTCACAAAATGTGTATTGTTGGAAAGAGTATTCAATAAGGATTCCAAATATGCCACCATTTTGAAAATTCGTACATGTTGGGGTACTTTGACCTCTTGACCTAAGATTTGACCTTGAAATTGACCTTGTGGATCACGTGACCTTGACAACATTTTTCATAAAATGTAATCTCTGACATGTTCACTTAAACGACAAAACTTAAAGTTGACATACTCAATAAAAGTTGAAGAAAAAAAAATTGTTTTATTTTGTACTTTTATCGTTATTGCAGGTGTACTAAGTGCTTGTCTCCTCCCCTCAGCAGGCTGTTTAAAATGTACCTATTTTAATCTTTTTACCATGCTTGTATTGACTTTTATAGGACATTTGTAAATTATTACAGCTGTATTTCTGGAAACTTGTGCAATGTGTTAATGGATTTTAGCTACAGAATCGAAGTCTTATTTGTGATATTGCGAGTTTTTTACATGTATATATTTAAAAGTGTTATCTATTGTGCCGAACGTGTAAACATGAATATTCCAGCCAAGGCTGTCCTTCATGTAAAATTGTATTTGTATATGAATCATGTTTCTGCTCCAATAAAAACCATTTTGGAATTGAATTGAATTGAATTGTATAGAAGTGTGCAGCGTAATGTGTACGTTTACATTGAAAGTATGTGCGGTATTTAGTTAGTGTTTAATTCACACATTTATAAGGGGGGATTTTGTGCATTTGAAATCACCTACTAATAATGACATTTGTCAGAGGTTGATTTAAGGTTGTTTTAGTTGACAAATATTGGTATTGACATATGAAATAAGTGTCAGATAGATAAGAGTTATGAAAGAAAAAGACTGAAATAAAGTCAGGTTTTTGGAATTTATAATGAAAGTTTCAATGAATCTAAATAAGAATGACAAGATTGACATACTTTGAGTAAGATGGGATTTATTTATTAAGCATATATTTAAAGGTAGTGTTGACTAAGAATTTATCTAGGCTGGGGACCTTGGTTACTTGGGCTTTTATGAGAGCAGTATTTCAGTCAAGATATGTTATTTTGACATAGAGATTAAAGGGATCGTTTAACAATGTTAAATCTGAGATACACGGCCCTACGTGTTATCAGTCTCTGTGATATGGTGTAATATTGAAGCCCTGAAAAAAATCGCGCTTCAAAATGATCAAGAAGTGCCTCAATAAAAGTAAAAATCTTTGAGTGACCGGTTTTACCATACTCGTTTTCCACAATAGACTGTAGTGTTATGAAAACCGTCAGGCGAACGGTTTTCAAAATTTGTAATTCCAATCATAAATATCTTGATAATCAGACAGGCGATCGGCTTGTAAAAGTCATGGGGTTCCTGACTGACCTAAAGGTTTATAATTATCATTGCATCATGAACTAAATCCAGAATTTTGTCTCAGAGTCTGAGACAAAGTTACCGGATCCCTTTAATGGGGGTTTAGGCCTTTTAGAGAGTTTTTGGATATAGTCTAGAGTCAAGACTATGAATGCTATTTAAGGCTTTTGATTATACATTACCGGATAAATGCATACTGATTTAGTGCAGTACATTTTATGTGTTATAGACATGTATACTGAGGATGCTTATTTTTATTCTACTTTCAGGTTGAATAAAATTGCTCAACTGGCATATCGTTGAGTTCATATACAACCAAGCGGAAACCTAGCCCTGTCTTCATTTTGAGCGTACCAATTACCTTGCGGGGATGTCACCACGAATTATCACGAAACTTGTGGAGAAAAGACGGGTATTTTGTCTATTCAAGTTCGGTATTCCTTGGTCAATTTTCCGTGACGGTTTCTTGACATAAATTCAATTTGCAGAAAAAAACTCTCTGTTATCTCACTTGAAATGCTTTGTCTAAACGAATGTTGATGAAAATGCTTTGGAAAATTTGGGCAATGTGCATGGTGACATTATTTGCACTGATGTCGGTATTTTGTGACCGTTCCCAAGTTGCAGCGGTCCAACAGTGTGGGACACGTGGGGGACACTATAGGGAAAATTTGACCCTCAACGTGAAACTTGGTGAAACAGCTGTGTTGCCATGCACGTTGGAAACGATTTTAGAGAGAAATCAACAGATTAATTGGAGAAGAGGAAGTGGCGACAGTCTGGTCAAATGCACAACACCATATATCTGCACGTATTATCGGCCGCATGATTCACGTTTTCATATTGTGACAGACTATGAGAAGGAGTTTAAACTAAATATCACAAATGCTCAGCTTGATGACACATCTACTTATTATTGCGATTTGTACATAAAGAGTTCGCATTCATGTGAGGCTTCTAAGGTATCATTAAACGTGACTGAACAGTACGTTAGTCCAGTAAATGAATCATCAACTGTTTCAATAATCAGTTCAACAGCCATCTCTGAAATGATTACTACAAATCTTCCGAACGAATACTCATCGACGCCAATTTCAGGGAAACGTCATGAGACGTTTATTTATCTCACAATGTTCATAGCAACACTTCTCATTTTAATGTTGTTTGCTGCAATTTGTTGTTGTCTGTTGGTGAAGAAGTTCGAAATCCATTTACGACCAAGAAACAGTAGCAGCAGATGTGTTAACACTGATGAAAGCAATGTGCTTGAGATGACTCGCCGGTCCTCTGTACTACCTGCAATACCAACGGTACCGAGTCCGTCGAAAGACACTGCGATGCCATCAGATCAGCCCAGGGGAAATTGCAACTCGAGTTCAAAGCCAAGTTTTGAGAGCCACCTCGGTCATCCACAAAAACCGGATGCAGACATCCAACGTCAAACAAGCTCTGATCACTCTGGAGATCTCACTAGTCAAGGAAAGATGATACAGACATATTCTCAATTTGATGAGAAAATTCCTACCGATTCTGGGCATTGCGTCTCTTTACCAAAGTTCGGTTCCGAAGAATCATGCTCAGGAGAATGTCAGTCTGGTTTAGTACCGATCATTTCCCCGCTAAAAGTTACGAGAACATACTTTTCTACATCGCCTAAACTTCCTTTAGAATCCACTGCAAAGACTGCCCGGGAATCAGACGGCAGTATTTCGATATCGAACGGCACCAATGATACGCCAAGCCTGTGCGTCAACCATTTAAACAAGAGGAATAACGATGTGTATACTCATCCTGTTGACGATGAAGAGCATACATATTTAGATATGAACGGCCAAGGTCCTCCGGTTCCTCCAATGAACCCTCACAAAATGTTACCAAGTATATCCTCGACAACAACGCACGAACACGATGCTGTGCAACCTGAACCGGCTCTTGCCGAGTCTGCAACATCCCAATCCAGTCCAATCTCAATGGATGGGCATACCTGGCACAACTTCGAAGGGGACAGGACAAGAAGGGCTCCAGCTGAAAACTTCAGAAAGTACATCCAATCCCGTCTTTCTTTCTCGATTAGACACGGGCATCGAGAAACAAGAGCTCGACCGGATATCGTTGACTTTCCATCACATCCTCCACTTCCTACAAGCATCAAGTAGAAAAGTGAACTATGCCCCATCTAAACAATGATGATCTAATTATTGTGAACAACCTAGCCAAGCTTTTCACCCCCTGATGTTCCAGACCGCATCTTAATATGTCTGATCATATAATTTGATACTAGCTATTTCAAGAGCTTACATGACAACAAAATGAAGTGAGTTGATCCATTTCATGCATTTGCTGTCTCCTTACGAGCTGAAGTATATGACACATACTAACATTCGGGACGTCAATGGCCAACAAATTATATTGGACCAGCCCATGTCTAATTAAAAATTACAATAAGCTGGTATGAATACGAACATATCCATGTAAATTGCTGGTGTAGGTTTTAACATAATATAATTTACTGCTCTTTGTACTCAGAAGAAATAATTGTATAGCTCATTCAAAACAACTTATAACTACTTGTTTCTCTTTAAAATCTCAAAACTATTTGTTGGGCTTTTTCCCCTCCCAACTGTCAAGACTATTATCAACTTCTGTTCAAACTGATGGCATCAGTTCCGTAAATCCTTGTTATATCATATTCAGCTTATGCTTTCCTACCATTTATGTCGCTTCATTATGTTTGCATGTATTTGTTCCTTATTTATCTATTTCATTCTATAAACGTGATGTATTTATTTCTTGTAATTATGTATTTTCTTGAATATTACTGTAACGCCAGTGGAAAACAAATTTCTATGTAACTTGTTTGCAAAGACCAAATAAGATATATTGTATCTTGTATCTTGTATAGGTCTGTGAAAAGATTACGTTATCATATTAAAGACTACGTATATTAGTCCGGTAATGCATGTTTTCTTTCGTTTCTACATATGCTATATACTGTTCTAATGTTGTTTTCAACTATCACTCATCTAAATTATCCTTCTTAATGACAAAGTTTGTTTCCTATTATTTGTTTACATTTTATTGTAAATAATGCGTAATTCAACATCATATTGCGGAGCATAATTGTTTTGTTAAACAAATACCATTTTGATCATTCATATTTCAGTTCCTCATAATGCAAAATTAAACGAAAAAATTAAATCGACGCTTGTAACCCCCTTTTTTTTCTTTCGGTTCTACATAATCCTATGTTATCAAACGTTATCTTAAACTATAACTTATGAAGTTATTTTTTTCGATTGACTAGGAATATTCCCTGTTATTTTTTGAAATGTTAATTGTAAGTTATACACAATTCAACATTATCTTGCAACACTTGATTGTAAACAAAAAATGGATACAATTTGAATGAAGGAATGGATGAATAAATGAAAGAATTTATTGAATGAATAAACATATTAAAGAACAATGTGTGGTACATAATTTTTTTGGTAGATACAACTTAACGATAATAATGACGGCAAAATAATGATACGCCATTGTTCAGTGTATTTTCGATTAGGTGCCCGACGCATTTATATCTATACTGAATATACATCAATATCAATATGTTAATAGTTCACTGTAGACATCATCTTATTGTAGCAAGTTTTAGAGTTTTGTTTAAACACCAAAACATGAACAACCTGTTTTTCCAAGAGCCTGCACATTTTCCTTTTACCATGAGCTTCACAGAAACATGTTGTGTTCATAAGTTGTAGGAATTCTAACCTCCATTCATATAATACCAATTATTCATACTCCACTTAAATCCAGACATGAACATTATTGTGCTATAAAGATGAGTTTCATTCTAGTCATTTTTGTTTCTGTTCCTCATGTTGTTTACCTAACTTAATGCAAAAGTTAACAAAATCTTATATTTGCTGTAAAAAAATAGGCGTTAATATATATATATATAATCATAATTACTATTCGATATTTGGAAAGCTTGATTCATGCTTTATATATTGATATATCATGTGTAAATGAAATTATCTAGTATGTTTGTCAGATATACGTGACACCTGTACAACTGGACGTAATGTGGTTTGCGGACAACCCACGCTGGTAACAACAAAGTACATCCGGGTTATCTTTGCAACAAGCTCGCGCTTTGTTCGAGCTCATACAGATAAAGGGTCAACAGACACAAGTAAAAGTGTTGATAAATGATTTCGTCCGACATGATTTTTTTTATTACCGTAGGGTATAATATTATAACAGCACATGTACACGATTATATTTTCTTATGTCAACATCTGTGCCGACAATTATATACGTACATTTCTTAGCCATAAAAGTAACACCAAACACGTCGTAAATACAGTCATGTTGATAAATTCGGTTCATAAACGACAAAGCAGTTTTCATGTATAATTTTTTTCATTAGTATAACGAATAATAAGAATAAATTTAGAAAACTCAATATGATGTTACTTTGTTTTTGAAACTTTGTCAAAAGTATAATTGTGATTTGAAGAGCGTAGCAGTGTGTGAGCCTGGATGGGGGAGAGAAAAGAGAGTGTAGGAACGATTTGGAGTGACAATCATGAAATGCCATCTATGTTATTTATCTGTGCCCTCATCTTAAGACGGACTGAGAAGACGAATACAACAATTTCATCATATTCATATTGAGTTTCTCTTTCTCCCCCTCTTCTCTCTCCCCCTTTTGTCTTTCCATCTATTAATACAAACGTGTAGTTGCGTGCGCGCGTGTGTGTACTTGTGTGCGTGTGTGTGTATGTTTGCATTATTGTTCCACATTCCACATAACAATATTGTCTCATACATAAGATTTAACAGCCTGGCAGGTTAGGAATGAATTTCTCTATTTTTTACAAAATAATATAGGAGTGAAAAATCTTGGCGGATCATCTTCATTTAGTTGATACACAAGTATTCCATTTGTAAATAGTATCCGTCTGTTATTTAAAGGGATAGTTCAGTTTTGTTGCAGAGGGCGCTACAATTTTTTTTGGGTGAGATATACAAAACTGAGGGTCAAATTTGAAAGAATATACAATTTAGATGATAAAATCATCTTTGTTCGATCTAAATCGGTTCAGAGACGGCTGAACAAACCCTTAAATATAACAATTTTTGATATTTGTGGTGCCCTACGAATATTCGGTAATTTTGAACCAGCAAATGAAAAACGAGATAGCGCCTAATACGTTCTATTCCAGACAGTGCCAATATTTGCTTTTTGTTGGCTTTTTCGTGTTGGTTATAATACGCACAACCAGCCGGCCCCTGTATTGTTATTATTGATTATTTAATTAATCTGCAAGAATCTTCAGCAGTGAAGGAGGCAGATTATTTTGAAGAAGAAGAAGAAGAAGGAATTAACAGTCTACTAATATTTTTGAAAGCGGAGCTGAATTGGTATGGTAGTATTCATTAATCTAAATTCACACATTTTGGGATCTTCAATTATCCTCATAGCAGTTTCAGATTCTAAAAGGGCACCAGAAATGTCATAAATAAGAATAAGAGCAATGACCATGCTCTTTGAAGGCATTCGCAGTCTCAAACAAAACCTAAACTATCCCTTTTACACAAATTGTTTGAAATAAAGGGTTTGTATTTGCACAAAAAGTGCAGAATGTATCGTCCTCGTAAATTGTGTTTGTATCTTCAAAATATATCAAATTCTTATTTTAGAACATTTTCCTACTCTAAAAATATTGAAAATAGTTGCAATAACGTAGAACATGAGTCTCGTAATATTACATATTTGGGAAAATAATGTTTAAGTCTATTGATAACACTTACATTTAAAAAAAAAAGGAATTTTCATGAGAAATCGGTGACGACTGCCATGAATATTGCGATAAATATGAAGAACACGACATTTTGTAGAATCTACGTTTTGATTTTGATTTTGATTTTTTTTCTGCATTGTTCCAAATATAATAACAGAATAACTAAGAACATATAAACGTAAGGTATAATACAAAATATACAAATAATGATAAGTTCATCACAATTTTTTTTTTTTTTTTTACATATGTACATAATAACGAAACTTAATATTTCCATAATATATTATTATAAATTTAAAGTACTATCAAAACTATCAGTTGAAAAAAGTGCAGGAGACCGCAATCATAAGTGAAGCTTGACTAGGATGGCGGCCTCAAAAAAATAAAAAATCTTAAGGTAAAATTTAAAATGAAAAAGTGTTCAAACGTTCTTTGTGTATGAGTGTGTGAGTGTGCTGTGTGAGTGTATATTGTGTATGGGCGTGCGTGTGTGTGTGTGTTATGTAAGTGTGTAGCGAATAGTGGATGTGCACGTAGCTCTCTGTTGTATGGTGGAGTGGAAACAAAATGTAGCTTTTCAATAAAGGAAGCCAAGAATAAGAAATAGAATACGAAATTTACAAACATGAATTGCAATGATACCTATATTTGAGATATGAATGATAATTGCCTACTGCATGTTGAAAACAATCATGTAGGTACTTTGATATAAGAGTCTTTTTTAAAGAGATGCTTTAAAAGAATAGAGAGATGAACAATGCCTTATTAAATTTGGTAAGGAGTTCCAAACATCTGGTCCATGGTGTCTTACTGACCTTTGGGCTTAAATTATTTTAGGATTTTCTAAGTGATAATTTGTTGAACAACGGGTGGGATATGTGTGACTGTTTGAGTTTGAACTGTAAATGTTGTGAAATAGGGATGGTAGTTGATTATGAGAATATTTATACATATAATTCACAACATTCACCAGAAGATGACCAGATAAAGTGATGAACGTATTACTACAAATCATATAATGATTGTAATGATTGATTCAAATCTAACTTGGAATATTCATATTAACAACATTTGCATGCTAGTCTCGAGAAGCATAGGCATTTTAAACAAATTAAAATATTAACTATCACAAAAGTCAGTATTTATGCTTTACAATTCCTTCATTTTGTCATACATATCTTATTGTAACATAGTGTGGGGTAATAGTAGTAAGATGAAAATTATGTTAATATATCGTCTCCAAAAGAAAGCACTTCGTCTTTGTACACATTCACATTATTTAGCCCATACTGATCAAATATTTTGTAAACTAAAAACATTAAAAATCGCTGACATTCACAGGTTTCAAA